GGCGGGGAAACCCGAACCCCGCTGGGGAGGATGGGGACCCAGATTTTATCCCCGACGGGTATCGAGAGCGGGGGCGGGGCCGGGGCGCCGGCCCCGCCCCGTTGCCATGCCTACACACACATATATATTCTCAGTAATGTTCAGAGACAAACCTGCGGAGTCAAGCTTTCCTTCTTTCTTTCTAACTTCATCTCCAAGTTGACACTTATCCAGAGCCTATTTATAGAAATGTAAATCAGTGAACACAATACAAATTTGAAGAACAATTACATGTCTTTTGGACCAAACTTGGTGTCTACATATTTTCATAAATAACACCAACCCACCTCCCAAATTTGTTCATCAGTGTATTCTTCTAGGGGGTCCAGATTACTTCTCACTGTCCCTTCAAACATTGTTGGATCTTGAGGAATAATGCTTAGTCTAGACCTCAAATCATGAAGTCCAATTGAAGAGATGTTGATGTTGTCAATCATAACTTGCCCTGAACTAGGCTCAACAATTCGGAAAAGTGTTTGAATGAGAGTAGATTTACCACTTCCTGTTCTCCCAACAATGCCAGTTTTCAGTCCTCCACGAAATTTGCATGTAAGACCACGCAACACAAGTGGAAGGTGTGGAGCATAGCGAACCTTCATCATGGGCAACACAATATTACATAAAACTGTTCTATGAAATATGCCAGATTTTCTGTTTCAGAAGATAATTTCTAACCATTTTGGAAAAGAAAATCTTATAATTAATTTCATAAATCAATTGACCACAAAATGAAATAAAACAAAAGTACAAAACCATAACATATAATAACTCAAATTACCTGCAAATCTTGAATATCAACCTCTCCATGTGAGGGCCAAGAAGGATCTGGCTGATTTTCTTCTAAAGAAAGAGGAGGCTCACTAGGAATACGAGTATATTGAAGTATTCTTTCTACTGATATAATTTTGTTTTCCATGTTACAGAGATTCCATATCACCCAAGATTGTATCATGTTCAAATTAAGTCCATATGTAACACTTAAACCAGCAAGGCCTTCAAAATCAGAAAATAGTATAAAAGGGAAACAATTATGTTCAATTCCATATTACATTAGCAGATTAAATTTTGATTTGAAACATAACAGATTGGAATTACATACCTGGATCTATGAATCCCGGTGGAATAGATATTAAGAAAATTAATGAAAAGGCAAATGTAAAAGCGGACAACATATCTAAGCGGAAGCACAACCATTCCATGGCACCAGAAATATTGAACACTGGCCGAGAATACCCATCACTCAGTTTCATATTTGTTTCCCGAAATCTTGACTGCTGATCAAAGCTTCTAATAGTTGAAGTGCCAGAAATTGTTTCAGCGAAGTGTTGAATGGTTGGGGCTTTGCAGACCCCAACTAAACGTGATAGTTCTCGGGCTGATGGTATATAATATTGCTGCAAAATTACAAGTTTGTAAGATGTTGGCTATCGAATAATATTGCATAATGGAGTCAATTTTGCAAATAAATTTGGTACATAATCTGTGCAGGCAAAGATATTGCCAGACAAGGATGGAAGTAATGCAAACAATATGTGCCACCTTATTATCATAGGCTTCATGATCCAATTAATACCTGATACCAGATGCTGACTGCTATCACAGGTATAAAGACAATGAAAACCTGCCATGCAGCTTGAGACATCACTGCTATAATTCCAAAAAGCTGGATCAAAGAGAAAGCAAATGACCCAATTTGATAAGGAATGTCTGTATCCACAGCACTTTGGTCAGTTGAAGCCTGCAAGAGAAAAACATGAAGCAAGACAAGTGACAAAGTATTCTATAATCTATAGTTGTTTAAAACAACCAACAAAATAAAGGGAACTATTAATTTAGAGGAAAAACGCTATATTAGATACAAAAACCATCTCTAAAACACAGAAGAACAAAAAATTGAAAAAAATGGGGTTTTCATACTCTGTTAAGGACTCGCCCACTTGGAGTGGAATCAAAAAACGACATTGGAGCACGGAAAATGCAGAAGTGCATTTTATTGAAGAGTATAGTAGCTGTCTTATAACCAACTGTGACAAGAAGTATTGCTCTAACAAGGACGCAGAAAGCGCTTCCAATGGCCAAACCAACATAGACTACTATAAGAGTCGTTCCTTCAATAGGTGGCTCCACATCTTCTGAGATGGGGGTCGCCCAAGCCATCCAATAATTGCTTCCAATTTGAAGAGCTTGAAAAAGAATCTGAGCTAACAATATGAATGGTATCAAAGCTCCTCCATATGCTGTTGTGATATAGTTCCAATAGACTGAAAGGCCAACTCTACCTTTCTCTCTTTCTTCTTCTTGAATAAGCTGGCCTTTTTGTTCACTTTTTTCGTCTATTTTACCACTTTGCTCATCTTTGCTTGCCTTTTCTTTAAAACCCTGGGTGTCCGAGACCTTTACACCATGTTCCAAGGTATTTATTTCATTAGATGTTGTCACTCCATCCAACGAATCTAGTGTAGACAAAGCTTTTTTGTGTGCACCAACGAGTTCCATGAAATCAGTACCACTATTAAGAAGATCTTTATACTTTCCACATTGAGTAATTTTTCCATCTTTCATGACCTAACAAGGATAACATGATGAAATTAAAAAAAAAAAAAAAAAAAAAAAAAAAAAAAAAAAAAAAAAAAAAAATTCTCTCACATTAATGACAATAAATTTACAGGAAATGCTCACCAATATAAGGTCAGCAGCAGGTAAGAACTCCACTTGATGAGTGACATAAACCACTGTCTTTGAACTTAAAAGGCCCAACAGACATTCCTGCCATACACAAAACAAAAGGCTTCACTTACTAAAACAAAAATATTTGTGTCATGTTGGAAGAACTACATTTCAAAATAGTAAAATCAAGGATTATTTGTAATTTGTATTATGCAAGCAAAACATAATAGCTCGGGTTATATGGTCAATAATAGACAAAATAATAAAACCAGATTACCTTAAAGAGGTGAGAGCCAGTGTGAGCATCCACAGCACTAAAAGGATCATCAAATAGATATATATCAGCATCTTGGTAAAGAGCACGTGCAATTTGTATTCTTTGTTTCTGTCCACCACTCAAATTTATTCCACGTTCTCCTATAACTGTTTGATCACCAAATGACAAAATCTCCAAATCCTTCTTCAAGGAACAAGCTTCAAGTACCTTCTCGTACCTTTCTCTATCCATGTGTGTACCAAACAATATATTATCCTCTATCTTTCCGCTCGGTATCCATGGAGATTGAGCAACATAAGCCTTTGTTCCACAAACCTTAAGAGTGCCTGATATCTTTGGTACTTCTCCCAATACACAAGAAAGTAAAGTAGACTTGCCCGATCCAACAGTACCACAAACAGCAACCCTCATTCCATGTAAAACTTTGACATTTATATTTTGCAATGTTGGGTTAGGGGAAGACAAATCCCAAGAAAAGTTTCCATCAACTACTTCAATTGCTGTATCAGAACTACCCCAAGGAAGCTTCTCTACAACATCAGGCTGCAAATCATCAAGACGAAGGAATGACACAATCCTATCCAGAGAAACCTTAGTCTGTATTATCATTGAAATTGTATCAGGAAGATTATAAATGGGCTCTTGAAGAATCCGGAACGTTGCAAGGGCAGACAAGATCCTCCCTGATTCAAGGGGGATCCCTAAAAGCATACAAGTACCGAAAGTAACCACAGAAACAAGTGTGGGCGCACCCCAAAACACAAATGTGGTTATGGCTGCTGTATAAACATATTTTTTTAACCAGCCTTGCTCCGTTTTCCTGAGCTCAGTTATTTTGGATAGAAACTTCATCTCCCATCCTTGTAGTTTAAGGATCCTCATATTTCTTAAAATCTCAGAAGTGGCCTTCATTCGTGTATCCTTCGACTCCATTAACTTATTTTGATACTTCTCCCCCAATGATCCCAAAGGAGCATTTGCCAACATAACAACAACAGTTGTGACAAGAGCAGCAATTGAAGCAAGGCCAAGGTTTTTATACAGAATCAACAAGGCCAACGTAACTTGCAGAACCACCATCCACAAATCATGCATGTACCAACAGAAGGCACCGACTCTTTTAGCATCAACAGTCATGAAATTGATTATCTCCCCAGAAGTGTGGACCTGCTTTGATTGACAAGAAAGGGTGAGAGCCTTATTAAAGATCAACGAGACAAGCAGCCCATTAATCCGAATTCCAATTTGCTGCAACCTAAAGAACCAATGCCTTTGGGTGAGACACTCTACAAGCTTTGCAAAGAAAAAGGCAGAAACCAAAACATAGCCCTGGTTTTCATACTGGCGTCTTCCATCAAGGTATTGAACAAAAGCATCAATGAGATAAGGACCAACATAAGAAGCCAAGGTGTTCAAAAATGCAAGAAAAGCTGTGAAGAGAATCCCCTTCCACGCTGACCACACTAACGCCTTCACCAACTTAAATGTGGTGACACTATTGATTGCATTTGCACCACCACAATAAGCCTCAAGTTTTTCCCTGAAACTTGGAAAAGCACCAACTACACTATCTCCTGGGTCTAGTTGAGGAACATCCTCAAGGTCCAAGGGCTTCTTATTGCCAACAGCAATAAGAGAACCCATCCAAGAGAAAGTGAGAATACTGAAAATTCCAGCATTAGAGAAAGGGGTAACAGAGTCCCCACCCTTGGTCTCTTTTGCATCACCATTCAAAAGAGGTTCCCGAATACCGTTACTATCATCATTCTCCTGAACCTGAACGTGACCCTTGTTCATCAGAAAGTACCCCACGTAACAGAAGAACAACCCGGCACAAGTGGACACAACATCATCAACCAAGTACTGACCTGGCCTTCCACGAACAACAACAATGTCCACCACGAAGGAATAGCAAGAAACAAACAAGTACAAAACGCACCAACCTCTGAAGAAAAACGAGAACTTTAAGCACCCCTTGTGCAGGGAAACAGAAACAACGCCCCAAGCAAGCGTTTTGAGCGCTAAATCGAAAAGGGTCACAATCAATACACTTTCTGGTTCTGACCAGCCACTCGTGTACCAGTAGAAGAAATTTAACAAACAGAGAATGAGACTAAAGCCAGAAAGAGCCACAGAACCAAAGACAGTCGTTTTGCTGTTACTTGGTCTCTCCTTCTCACCAGACTCTTCTCCCCTCGGTTCTGCCGCAAGTGTGACTTTGCTCCAAACCCATGACAGCAAAAGCACCAACAGTAACAGAAGGTGGATGGAGGCTGATAAGGCACTAAGAAAAATGGGTTTGAGGAGAATATCAGCGACAGGGTGCATGAGAGAAAGGAGTGAGGAAAAAGAGAACATGGTGTCAAAATGGAGAGAAAATTTGGCTTATCTTGAGAATGGAGAATGTGAAGATGAAAACTTTAAGGTTATAAAGAACGGAAAGCTGGGCGCAGAAGACTGAAGAAGTCAAAGAAAGAGAGTGAAAAGCAAAACAGTGTTCCGTGGGGCGGAGGTAACGTGGTGCCCAAGACTTGAGAGTTTAGTGGAAAGAGACGGCGAAGGAAGAAACAAGGAAGATGAGATTCAGAACCACTCACAAATTTTAACTACGACCACACTTTTTAACCTATTTCTTTTAATATGTTATTATTTATATAATAATTAACGATTACAAAAAAATCTAAATCAGAAAAAAAATATATATATATTATTAGTAATAAATTTAACAAATTTCTGTTAGAAGTGTCCAAAAAATAATTCTGTTAAGCTGTCAAAAAAAATTTCTGTTAATGATTAAAAATGTATTTAAGAATTTAAGGATGCATCTCCCTATTTGAAATATAATATTTTTTTAATACATTTCCTTATTTCGAGGAAGTAAATAGTACTGTCAAAATAAAAAATAATGTTACTTTTATTTTTTTTTCATTCTATTTATCGTCGATAATAGCTACGTTATAGGCACCTTAAAAAGTGGGATAGCTGGCCTCAAGATTTAACGCAGCGCAGAATTCAAATTTCTGACCTTGCTTAAGCGAGGATCAACCCTTACCACTAAATCACACGCTCAAAATTTTTATTTTATTTTTTTACATATAACATCCTTTTCATTATTTTTAATTATATAATTTTTTTAAAGTATCAGTTGCATTAATTATATTTTTAACCATACTCTTATTTAATGTTTCACATTAATTGAATAAAAATTGTCTCTTTTATTATGAATAAAAGTTAAATGAGAAATGATTAAGTAAAGGGAGAAAAAAATAATTTAGGAGATGTTAAAGATAATTTTAGAAAAATAATTTAAATTATTAACAAATTTAATACTCTTAATAAGATTAATTAATTTTTTAAAGAGTATAATTTGGTTTAAAATGTTTAATAATTAATACCTGATATAGATTTTTGCATTCCTAACATGCTAAAAGATAGTGATGAGAGTGTGAAGTGAAATTTGTGCTCAATTTTTATGGGGTCGAAATGGTTTTAAAAGTTGAATCCAATCGATATAGTAATGCACCGTGTGATTCCAGTTCTCAGTCAATGAAAGGATGCCATATTGAATAAGATATCTAGCCAATGTTATCACTACCACCTCGTAAACGGTAACTAGTCGTTTTCTTTTTCTTTTTTCCACAAAGACAGTTGTATTCTTTTCATTAAAATAATAATCCAGATTCAATGAAAACTTTTATTATGAATATTCTTAAAATTAAATAAAATCAAACTTTTAACTCAGAATTGAGTTATCAAATTACTTTTTCTTTATAATCTATCTAATTTAATTAAGAATCATGTCATATTTAGAAATATTTTTCTTATTAATTACTATGAATCTGATCTAATATAAATTTGTAATAGATTCAATAATTACGCTATAAAATTGGTGACTGTGAAGTTAATTAAAAATATGTAATATAGTAATTGTTTCTTCTTTCTTTACTGACATATTGATTTTAATAAAGATAATTTTTACTTAAAAAAATCATTTTTTCATTCCTTAAACATCCCAATTTCTAGGATGCCTTCTTCAATAAATGAAGTTGTGTTACAATTGTATTTTAATTTGCCTAATAAAGGAGGAGGAATCCATACATTTAAAGGAGGTTTCACAACCTTCACAAGTTTCGCTTGATGTTATCAACATTCAACATCTTGTTAGTTTTTAACCAATTTACAAGAGCAAAAATTTTGCACTATTCAACACTACATCCACTTATTTATAATTGACATTTCACACCATTTCATTTTCTTCTTTGTCAAATACTCCACATAAGTTGAAATTGATCATTTAATAATAGTCCTTTAATTTAAAAACATAAACAAATACTTAATTGATTCACAATTCAACAAAACATGATTAATCTATGGTCACAATTCACATTTTTGTCAAACTTCAAAGCTTTATAACCATGCTATCAAATTATGCCAACAATTTTGCATTTCATTAGAACAAAATATACAAACTGGACAAGATATATCTTTACTTTGCAATTTGTTATTTGTCGTAAGTTTGTTTAGATAAATATTTTCAATTTAAGAGATACTTGAAGTTTCCAAATTATATTTCAATCATCATCACCTTTCATCTCTTCTTGATTACTAATATGATCCATGTAGACCTTATAACCATATTTCATTATATATACCCTATTTGCTGACAAACTCCAAATTAACCTATTATTTGAATACATGAAAACAATACTCATTTGTTAAATTAATTCTACCACATAAAACGTCTAAACAAATGAAACAAAATATAAGTCTCATTCATTGTAATTTTGAACCAAAAGATTTTTAACAAATTATAACAAACTTAGATAATAAAAAAAATTAAATCAATATAATTAGATATCGTACCTCTCAACCAAGTTTTCTTCCATATATTAATTTAGACTAAATACTTAATTTGGTCCCTTATAATATTTTAAAGTTTCAATTCAGTCCTACTTTAATTTTTTAATTCAATTTGGTCCCTAATAATTAAAATTACTGCAATGTCGAACTTCTGTCCAAATTTCTTAAACGGAGTTAACTATTGGTCACGTAGATGCATAGATGGCAAGGTCCCATACGTATGTTGTTGTCCTCCTCCTCCTCCTCCTTCTTTAATGCATCTGGAATGGCCCGTTTTGAAACTAGAACGGCTCGTTCTGGTTGTACTCGTCGTGTGTTAATTTTGCATTTGGAACAACTCGTTCTAGATGCATTATTTAACACACAATGAGTGCAAGCAGAATGAGCCATTTTGAAACCAGAACGGACCGTTCTAGATTCAGAAATGGTCGTTCCAGAACGCCAACTAAAATGCAGCAATGTGGTTCAAAGATTGAAAACAAAAATTCATAACATAACATAAATTCAAAGACTGAAATATGGTTCAAAGACTGAAAACAAAAATTCATAACATAACATATATTAAGAAAATTCAAAGAAATTACTGAGGAGGGAAATCATTTAGATAATGCGGAAGGTGCCAATTATACATCCTATCCACCATATAATTATAGTGTTGTTGGAGTTCATCCATCTCTTACAATCGACGATCCATACACTGAATGGCTGATAGGATATCAACATTATCTACCTGTACATGTAGTTGTGTGGTGAAATGTTAGTCTTGTGTGTCCTCTTCCTCTACTTCAGGTTGTACCTCCTCAAGAACAAGTTGTTGTTGTTGGGGTACATCGATCAATGACTCCAAGGGGAAACACCGTGTCGTTTCATCCTTGACTGTATAGTGTCAATTTGGTAGTAAGTGGTTCACTCCAGTTTGACTAACAATGAAATAAAATCTGTCACCATTGTCCTTAGTGATACACTGCATTGCATAACAAGTATTAAAATTAATACTTCTATAAGCTCCTATATCCTACAATTGGTCCAGAAATGGTGTATAGCCCAAATATTTAGCAATTGAAGTTATCAATCGCCCATTAACAATATTACCAAATTCAGTGTTTGAAATGCTTTGTACCTTGGATTTTTTTTCCTTGCACGATTCACAACCATGATTTAGAATCAAGGGCATGAACTATAATCATTGACCGTTAGTGTTTGACGTTCTGGAACCAGAACGGCCTGTTCTGAAACCAAAACGGTTCGTTCTGCTTGCACTCGTTGTGTGTTAATTTTGCATCTGGAACGGGTTGTTTCAGATGCAAAATTAACACACCACGAGCAGTGACAAATCCAAAAATTTTAGATAGTAGGGGCAATACTTATTCATATATTTGTAGTATTAAAAATTTATATATAACTTTTAAAAGTATAAATATATATTATAATTATTTTTTACAATTTTTTATATCTACAATTATAATTAAGGATGAAAATAAACTATGTCAAACTATGTTATATTATAATTTAATAGATTTAAACCTAACTTTCTTAAAAATATATGTTTTAAATATGACATATTTATCTTTCATAGAATTTTTTTAATGTTTAGTTACTTAGAACTACAATCTTAAAGACCTAGATAATAATAATTTAACACTAATAAAAATATAAAAATAAATATGTTCAATTTTATAAAAATCAAGTTTAATTTATTTATGACATAAACATGTTTTTAATATGTAATATAAATTTTTAGATGATAATTTATTTTAAAACACATTTTATAATAAAAATTATAAATAGAACATAAATCTTCCAATCTTTCCTATTTTGATTTTTTTAAATCAACGTATACAATTTTACAATTTTTACTATTTTGATTTTTTTTATCAATATATATATACAATAAATAGAAAGTACAAAAGGTAAGCATGCATGTTGTAAATTTTATTTTATCAAAAATTAATATATTACATTATATGTGTGAGCATTAATATATATATATATATATATATTAATCTC